GGGGGGGGGGGGTTATGTCTACACCCCGCTGTTCAGTAACCGCCTCTTTGCTAGGTATTGTTTTCAGGACTTTACATGTATGCTGTCTAATAACAACCCCAACAGTAGGTGTCATTTTTTTCCATTTTCAGGAAAACTCAGGCTCGGAGAGGTTGTTACTTGCTCAGATTCACATAGCTAATAAGTGGCAAAGTAGGGACTCAAAACACAAATTTTTCTAATTCCAACTCCATATTTTCCTTTTTATCTATTTCCTTTCCACAAATCGTGTTGAGGCATTTTACCAATAATCTCCCAAAATGGTGATCTCAGGTGGTTCAACTTAATCGTATATAAGCACCCAGTCCTACCTTTTGTGTGTGAAAATGCGGAATCCATTAGTCACCACTACTGGCGAACTAAACTACTGGCTGTAAAATGTCAAGTTGACACATAAAATTCGCCATCACAGACCTGAAAGTAAAAACACCTGCGTCAGTTTCCTAGCGCTGCTGTTAGGAAGCACCACAAACTAAGTGAATTAAAGCAGCAGAAATGCAAACAATAGACAGGTGATGTGTTCTAGAACTCTACCCCTAAAACCTATATCATTTTATTAACCAGTGTGAATAAAATTGAATCCCAATAGATTCAATTAAAAAAAACTTAATTTAAAAAAACACAAAAACCAAAATAAAGCAACAAAAATGTATTGTTTTACTGTTCTGAAGGCACTAGGGAAGAAACTCACGCCTCTCTCCTGTCTCTGGCAGCCTCAGGCATTCCTTGGCTTGTGGATGCATCCCTTCAGTTACATGGCTGTCTTCTCCCTTTGTCTCTCCACATCATCTTTGCTCTGTGTGTGTCTGTGACTATATTAAAATCTCTCCCCTTTTTTTGTAAGGACGCCAGTCATATTGGATTAGGACCTCATTCTAACTAGATTACTTTGCAAAGACTCTGTTTCCAAACAGGGTCAGTTCTGAGGTACTAGAGGTTAGGGCTGCAACATATCTTTTGTGGGGAGAGGACTACAATTTAATCCATCACAGGCCCTCAGATTATGATAAACTTGGGGATTTGTACTTCTGAAATTAATGGGCCAGCTTGTCCCAGACCACCTCTGCCTCTGAGAACCACCAAAAAAGCTAGACAAAATATTAAAAATAGCTGCTCGGAGGCATTAGCAGCTGTCAAGACAGTAAGGACCTGACAGGCTTAGAATCATAGACAAGGGAAGCAGAGAGATGAGCCTGACATCCAGCATTGCTTTTACCCTCAGAGCATTTGCTCATTTGCAAGCAGCGGTTAAGAAGCAGCGCAAAAAGCAATAGCCTAATAAAGAAGAAGAAAATCAATAATTCATAATGGGGTAGACATAGCGCCACGGCCACCCCTTACATCAGCGGGGCAGGGAAGGGGGAGGGGCAGGAGACATTCAGGAGTAACAGAATTTACCATCGATTGCTTCTTGACTTATTTAAATTCACCACTTTAAAGATGGAAATGGCAGGTAGTACATTTTGTATGTGGTTTATGCAAGAAAGATAAAAGCCAACTCCATCTAGCAAACACATGTTTAAAAGTGAGGGTGGGGAGTTTGGCCCTAATTATAGTGGCAAACACGTAAACAGTGTATGTTGTGTGCTAGGCATTGTTCTAAGTGTTCCATGCTTATTAAATCTCACATATGTGTGATATTGTAAATCCAGAGACTTGGCAAATGAACATCAGTTCATATTTTAAATTAAATTGTTAAGGCATCTATATATTATTTTTTATTATTTTTCACTTTTGTCAGTCTTATTCACATTAGATGAGAGAGTTTCTGCTATATTAACACGGAACATTGCCATATATATGTGTGTATGTGTATATATATATGTGTGTGTGTGTGTGTATATATATATATATATATATGTAGTGGGGAAAAGTAAAGTATAAAAGTAAGGTGTGTATAGTATGTTATCATTTGAGTAAAAGGTCTGTCTATCTATATGCATAGATATGTATAGAGCATCTTTTGGAAAATTCTTAAAAATTGGTAACAGTGGTTGTCTCCAGGGTAGGGGTTTTGACTCTTACTAAAACCTTTCTACAATGTGTTAATATGATTAAGTATTTTAATCTTTCTTTAATGACTCAGGTTCTTGCAATGTGTCTGGGATCTTTTTGGCAATTTCTTCAACAAGCAGGTCAAATATTAGCTTCTCACCATTTGTTGCTTTGAAACTTAAGTTCTAAATAAAAATCCTGGTCATTTTGGGGGAACATCTAAATAGTTGGATTTAAGATAATCAGAATTATACTATCTATATTTGCCAGGATATAAATGTCTACTTCAGAATTATTGGACATATGTTTCATTTTAAATCCTAATCATGTGGTAACTTAATAGTGTTTTCTATCTTTGGCAGGAATTGAAAGGTGGAAAAGCTTATGCGAAGGTAAGTGAATGCCCTTTAACTCTTTTGGAGTGTGTGATATCACTCATTGCTGTTTATAAACTTAAAAATGAAATAGTTTGCTCTTCTAATTGCCATTCAAATAGGCTTTTTTAAAATAAAGCAACTTGGAGATGGAACAGTTGGCTTCAACGATAAATTAGAGGTATATTCTTTCTAAATGCTGATTATAGAATGTTCTTAAGTTTCAGTTTCCGAATAGAAGATGGTCTCTGGTTTGCACTAAGCAACAGCGTCTATTAATATGTTCTTCCCAAGAGGTATTCCCAGTCCCACCTCCTCTCAGTAGAATAGGCTCCCTCCTCTGTGTCTTCCTACACTCTGTATACACCTGATCTCTACTGTCCTTTACACTTTTATCGCCTATAAGGAATTACTAAAGAATGTGCTCACCTTTTTTGCTAAACAGAAGGAATTAGTAATACTACTGGAAACCCACACACTCCTCTTTCATTTCCAGTCTCTCTGGTGGTATCTCTGTCAATCAGTCATCAAAGCCAAGGACCAGGACTCTAGTTCCAACCATCACATCTGCCTGACTCCCTAAAACTAATTGGCTGCAGTGTCAGGCTGCTCTTTGCTACAAGTAACAGAAAACTCTCCTCACCTAGAGATCTTTTTAATCTCACAAAACAAGTAGGTGTGAGGTAGAGCTGCTCCGGGATTGGTTCATCCAGTGACAGGAGAGCGTCTTCAGGAGCCCATGTTACCTTCCTCTCCCCGCTCTTTCATTCTCTGTGTGTTGACTTTGTCCTTGGCTAGCTCCCCTCGTGGTCACCAGGTGGCTGGCTGCTCAAGTTTTAGTCAACACATTGACTTAGGACAAAATCCAGCTGCTTCCCCATGTGTGACTTTTTGAGTGAGAAAACTCCCTCAGTGGCCCTCAGGGTTTCCCCATGCCTGTCGCTGGCCCAGCTGGGTCATGTGTTCACTCCTGAACCAGTCGTGGGCGCGGGAGTGGACTGCCGTGGTTGGTTCAGACTGATCACAGCTTAACAAGGAGCTGGAGGTTGGGTTACTTTCCTTGTGCACATGGATCAGAGTGATCGTTCTAAGATTCAAACACGATCGTATCATCCCCTCACTGAGAAACGTAAAGCAGATCAGGGGTAAAGGGTGACAGCTGCCGGGTAGGAGAGGGAAGAGCCAGGTGTGTTTTAGAATGGGGGGGCTTTAGAGGGATGACATTTGAACAAAGGTATGAATGGAGTGAGGAAGAAAGCCACAAGGAGATCTCAGAGGGAGCCTATCAGGCAAAGGAACAGTCGGTGTGCAGGGCCTTGAGGTGCTCGTGGCATTTTCTAGGAAAAGAGCACTGTGGCTGGAGTGGGGAGACGAAGTCGGTGAGGTGGCCAAGGACAGAGGGGCCAGAGACAGTCAACATGGACAACTTTTTCAAGGAGTGTTGCAATCAAGGGGGAGCATAAAAATCGTCCAGTAGACTAGAGAGGTGTGGGGGAGGTGGTGTTTACTTTGTTCGTTACGATGGAGAAGGCCCAGCACGTTTGTGTGCTGGTGGTAATGGTCCAGCAGAGAAGGCACA